CTGAACTTGAAATGACTGGCTGCATGCAGACAAGCTGGCACATAACCATGTCCAAAAAGGGCAAAACTGGGGGTTAATGCTTGGTGATACATGCTGCTATGGTCTGAGAAGTTATTTAAATTTTAGTTTTGTACTTATGCCTATATATGCAGAAAGAGAAAGCCATAATCCCTGTCACGTGAGTTACTGGGCAGTGCCAGCGTGCAGAAGACTAGCAGAGATGGGATGAAGGAGAATCGCAGTTGTTGATGAAGGCCTTTAGAGGTGACTGCTTTGCCATGTGGAAGAGCAGAGACCACTAGTAAGGGCTCAGGCTGTTTACTGGGACACATGGAATAGACCCTGAAGAAAGCACAGAGTTTCCTGTACCCTTGTAGGAGAAATAACAGGGACTTGGAGGTTCTTATCTCTTTTGCTTTAAAGGGCTTGCAAGTTTCTACAAAGCAGAAGATTTCCCCTTGGGATCTGTTTGAAGGCTTAAAGCACTCGGCCCCCCTCTCCTGGGGATGGTTTGGGACGGTCCGTGTGGATCGCAAGGTGTCTAGATTTGAGGAGCAGCAGAGGCTTCTTCTGTACCACACACACTTGAAACCCAAGCCCCGCAGTTACTACCTGGAGCCGTTGCCCCTGCCTCCTGAAGAGGAAGAGCCTCCTACACCTGTGGCTTTAGAGCCAGAGAAGAAAGCTGCAGAACCAGCCAAGGCTGATAAAACAAACTCCAATCCTCCCACTTCCACTGAAGAACGCAAGAAGAAACAGAGCAAAACCAAGAAACGCAACCAATCTGCCAGCAAAACTGAGGTAATTGACTGCCCAACAGCTATGGACCTCTCATGTCCACCCCTCCTAGTCACAGAGCACTCCCTTGAGTCTTCCTGAGGAGCCTGAGAGTGGTGTAACAGTGAAGATGGGATGTATTTCCTCTCAGCTGGGAGTGCTGGAGCTCTATCCTGCTCTCTCTAGCCTGGGGCAGAGCAAACATTTTCTTGATCCCTGATGGGAAGGAAGGAGGCTGCCCAGCTCAGCACCTCAGGCTTCCTCTTGTGGACTTTGCAACCCTTTCATACTCTTCATCCATTCATGAGTTCCCAGTGCACATTGATCTTTCTTATTCCTTCTTTGTCTTTGCAGGATTTTGTGTTGGGCCCTAGCCGAGGGGTTACATATGGAGTTGGTATGCCTACAGATCTCTTGCATCACCAGTCAGGAAGCACTATGTCGAGGCTGGCATATGGACAATCACCAGTGAGTCTCTATGCCCAGAATCAACCTCTTCCAGCAGGTAGGTGCACAGGAGAGGTGAACATATTACATCTCTTTGGGAACCTCTTGTAAGAACGCCTTCTGTGAGATGGTCCTACACAGGTCCTTGCACTTTCCCCTTTTGCTTGTCATGTGTCTAGATACAGTGATGTACAGTCATTCTAGAGCTACAAGACTCAGCAATAGCATGTGACTAGCCAGCCCATTTCTCTTCCTCTTGCAGGAGGCCCTCGCCTGGATACATCCTACAGGCCTGTACGCGTGCCACTGGGTAAACTTGTGCAGAGTCGTCCTCCATATAGTGGTGTGCTGCCTCCAGGGATGGGGAGCATGATGGGCATTGACCCCTCATACAAGCCAGCAGTGTACCGACAGCAGCCTCCAGTGTCCCAAGGACAGATACTGAGGCAGCAGCTTCAAGCAAAGTTGGTAAGTCAGAGCTGGGCTCTTGCTGTTGCTGGACCCCACAGTACAGCAAACCCAAGCTCTTTGCTGGGGCTGTCCCTTCTAGCAAGAACTCTCCAGCTCTGTCTCTTTTTCTACCCTGGAAAGATCTTGTCTCTTCTGCCTGTTTCTCTGGTACAGCACTGTGTTTGCCATCTGCTTTGTGAGCCCACATCACTAACAGTTAGTGGAGGCTGTCAGTGAGATGCACAGGGACATCTGTGGCTGTTGGGCAGAGGGGCACATCCTGGTTTTGAGGTTGTTGGGATGTTAGCGGCCTGTCACGGACTGCTGGTATCTCATCTTCAGGAATCACAACCCAAAAGGCCGTTGTGATTCCCCTCGTGTATCAGAAGGCTTTATCTCAACTCTTAAGGGTCTCAATCCCAATGGACCCAATCGAAGGCTATCCAACAGAGAGCCTCAACTCACTGCTCTCTCAATCAGAAGGCTATTCAACCAAGACCTCCAATACACCACTCTCCAGGGGCTCCTACCACTCCAGCACCTAGGAGGGAACCCTCCCTAGGAGGGGAGTGCCCCACCTTTAAGCCTCCCATAGGTCATGTGGTCTCCGACTGGCCAACATGACTTGCAGCACCTGTCTCGACAAGGCACAGGTGCTTCCCATGTAGCAGCCAGGAAACTTCCCCGACAGCGGCCTATTTGTCCCAGGTCAAGGTGAGGCAGAAGTCATTAGCATCTGCATGCTGTGCAGCAGCCTTGTAGGTTTAGCAGTGAAGCTACTTGTCTGATTTGGTGGGAGCTGCTGAGAAGAGAGCAGCAGTGTCCTGGCCTTTGGAGATGTTGAAGAAAGTGTTTCTCTGTTGCCTTCCAGCAGGGCCAAGGCATAATGGGACAGCAGCCTGTGCGCCAGATGGCTCCAACCCCATCCTATGGAGCACTGCAGCCCTCCCAGGTAAGTGGCAGTGGCTGCAGGTAAGACTGGAGTCTGGCTCCAGCACAGGGCAGCATCTTTGTTTCTGTTGCTAAATCCTGAAATCTCTTGGCTCTTCTCACTCTTCGTTTACTAGGCTGCATGAATCTGAATCCCGGAGATGAGCAGCCTTGTGACAGTATTTACAGGAGGCTGATTTTTACAAATTCTCTTCTGAAGTTTACAAGTTTTCTTTTGTACCTTACCCCATGACTGATAAAGGTTTTGTTTCATTTCAGGGTTACACACCTTACGTGTCTCACATAGGCCTTCAGCAGCACCCTTCTCAGTCAGGCACGATGGTACCTCCTACCTATTCCAGCCAGCCCTATCAGAATTCCCACCCCAGCTCTAATCCTGCCCTGGTGGATCCTGTTAGACAGATGCAGCAGAGACCAAGTGGCTATGTACACCAGCAGGCCCCTGGCTATGGGCACACCTTGGGCAACACACAGAGGTACCTCCCATGCTACTGAATGTTAATAAGCTGTATTTCATCAAGGGCTTCCACACTCTGCTCAGACAACCCTAAAAACTATCAGAAAAACCTGTTGTCCATGCTATGTTTATACAGAATGTTGAGTTCTTTGCACCCTCAGGTGAACGTTTTTATCCAGCTTTCAGTCCTGGGAAGAAACAGAGACAGGATGAAATGGCTGTTGGAGACAGTGTAAACCAGCCAGAGAAAGGTGGAATTGGGAAGTATGAGAAAAATGACCTGGGAGTCAATAGTTTTGGTTTTAAATCTAACCAGCAGATCACCATCAAAGGGTTAGATCTGGGATTACGACTGCCTCCTGAGCAGCCATAAATCCAGCAGGGAAACCGTGCGAAACAGTGGACTGAGGGCTGTTAACTTAGGACTTCTAGAAAACTGGGTTGGAGGAAACTCTTGAGAGGCCCTGGTGTCTACCTTTCTGAAGAAAGAAACATGGATTGCAAGGGGCTGTTCGGGCTCTCTGTCTTGTTGACGGCAGAAGTTGGGTTTGGATTAAAGAAGCTGACTGCCCATGAATCTCTTACTTCATGAGCTTCTCCTTTTCTCTTGTAGGTTTCCTCACCAGTCAATACAGCAGGCCCCCATGATGAGTGGGATGAACCATTTGGGTCCACAAGGAGTCCCCTCAGGAATTCGACCCGGCCAAATACTACCTGACCAGCAGCAGCAGCAGCAGTACCTGAGGCAGCAGCAGCAACAGCAGCAGCAGATGCTGAGAGTGAGTGGCTGCTGACAGGAGGAAGGCTGCTGGAACTGGAGGAGGCTTGTCCAGCGCTGCTTACCTCTGTGTCAGCAATGCTCTGCTCTGCCCCTCTGTGCCAGGAAGGATGTCTGCTCTGTTGAGGGCTGTCTGTAATAATTTGCTGGGCAGTTCTGCCTTCCTTAGCGCTGGCCACTCCTCATGGAGACACCTACTGTGCTGCCTTTTGCCAGTCACCCACCATGAACTAAAGGGAAGTTAGGAGCAGTAAAGGTCTGTTTAGTCCTCTGTGGCCTGCATCCCACCTCTTCCTGCTCCAGCTGAGCCCAAAACATTGTGCAGAAAGCTAGCTGTCTTAGAAGTTCTAGCTAGCTAGAACTTAGAAGTGTTGCAGGAGCCAGAAACAAAGTGAAAATCCCCCTGCCCACAGAAGAGCAAGTAGAGTTGTTCCTGACAAGATCATTTTTAGGAGCATATCTGCCTTTCACAAGATCAAAATAAGTGTCAGTTAGTTTCCAGTGGCAGGAAATCTGATGTGAATCAGTCCATGTACTCCACATCTAACTGGATGGTGAAAAACTGATCCAAAGTAAGCTGTTAGACCCAACAATCTAGGCTCGAAGAAGTTCACAGGTGTGTCTCAACAGACATGAGTATTCCATGGATTTGCATTGTGGTCTTACAAATATTAAATATTCATACGATATACAGATATGAATAAATTTCTTGGAGTTACAGAAATATATTGAATTGACAGAGAAACACAGAAATAGTTTGGGTTAATTGGTGAATTGCATATCTTACGACAGGGCTGAGCAAACCTGTAGAATACGGGGAGACTTTACATGGCATGGAGTGCTGAGGCTTTGTGTGCTGAGAGGGGCCTGAGCGAGCCAGTGGTTCCTGCAGAGAACTGCAGTCAGCAGTATTTGAGACTTGCTGCCTTGCAGTGGACAAGAGACTGTCTGTAACATGGTCAGCAGATTTTAGTCCTTTTGATGAGTAGCACCCCCTGACTATTCCCTTGGTTTCTTTTAGCATTCTCCATCCCTCATATTTAGAAAAAGAACATGCCGCAGACAAATTGCTAGTACTTCTCCTAGCTCGGTAACTTCATGTATACCTTCAGCTTTTAGCTGAGATTGCTTGATGCTTAAAAAAAAACAGTGGAGTGCCTGAAATCTCCCCTGTTACTGTGACTCCTGCTGCATTATCAGAGGCACACCAGATGCAGAACAGACTCCTGAAGCTTGAGTTGACTGTCACGATGCAGTGGCTTGTAGAAAGGAAGGATGGCCTTTTGGTTTGTTGCAAGAAGGTGGGACATGAAATCAAGAGGGGTATCCTGGCTCATTTAGTCAGTCATCTGCTTTCTTGTGTAACCAGGTCATAGCATCCACTTCAAGAACCTAAGTGGCCAAACTGGTTTAAGATGGAAGTTAGGAAACTGTTCTAGAAACTAACTCCCTTTGGGTTGAATCGTTGATCCAAGCCTCAATGTGTTTGTGACTGGTTCTTGTATTCAGTTATTGTTGTCCACTGTGTCCTGTTGTTTACTGGCTCTTCTTTCTCTCTGATGTTTACCCAGTGTATTTCTAGGGAGCACTTGCAGCTTCCATAGGTCAGGTTTTTCTAACCTCCTCTCATAACATACTGTCCCTTCCCCTGATTGTATTTTTACCTGTTTTCTGTGACTGTTCAAGGTTTGAACCTGACGCTTTTGAGCCAGTGATCAGAACCGTACCTAGCATCACCATGTTGGGTTTTTTGTGATAGCATTAGTAGTTTTCAATTTCTGCTAGAAATTCTTCTGTTCATCTAGAGAGTTCAAAACTGCATGGGCAGATGGGAGAAATGTCTGAAAATTAGAACTGCAAAAAACCTTGAGATTTGTAGGTGTATTCTGACTCTTAAGTTCAACACACTGAGTATTCTTCACACCATAACTAGTTCTGTCAACAACAAGGTTGGAGCACTGCATCCAGTTTTATCCACATCCTTTTACTGAAGCACAACACCAGCTGGCATGAGCGGCAGAGAAGGACTGCAAGATAGATTGAAGAGTTGGGGAATGTGACTGAGAAGGAAAGGCAGAAATAGCTGGGTGTTGAGTTTGAGAGGCAGAGACAAGAGAAAAGTCTCCAGATTTTTTGTCTTCAAAGAAAGCCAAAAAAATCTTATCTGTTCTTGTCCCTTGACTTGTAGGACAAGAAATGGCCTTAAATCATAATGTATGAGATTCAGGGTAGAAATTAGTGAAAACTCCAGTATTAGGAGTAGCTGTGACCTGGAGTGGATTGTGCAGGGAGGTTGTAGGAGCTCTGTTGCTACCTCTGGAAAAATTTTGACAACAGGTCAGGCAAATACACAGTGAAGTCAATATTGCTGATCCTAACCAGGAGACAAGAGATGAACCGTTTTGAGGTAGCTCTTAGTTTTCTATTCTTGTATCTTTTTTGCTCCTAGTCATTCCCCAGCTGACCTGTAGACTCATAGTTCTCTTCCTGCCATCTGTCAATACCACATTTTTCAGAAGAACTTTGTTATTGTCCCTGTATTTCTTGCCATTTCTCAGCCTGGGGCAGGGTCCTGGTGAAATTCAGGTAATTTAGGTACCTGTAAGGAAAATGGCATAAGAGGGTATGTTACTGCATGGAACGTCCTTTCTCCTTCAGCCCTTCCTGTGCCCTGTTGCTATGTGCATTACCCAGACAGTTCTCTGATGATCCCTTCCCTTTTGTCTTCACAGCAGCAGCAGCAACAGCAGCAGCAGCAACAGCAGCAGCAACAGCAGCAACAACAGCAACAGCAGCCGCAGCCACCACAGCCGCAGCAGCAACCCCAGGTCTCCACAGTGCCTCAGCCACAGGCGCAGGGCCAGCCCCCAGGACTGGGGATGCAGGCTCTTCCCCCCCAGCAGCCCATTGTGAGTGTTCCCCTGGAGTCAGATCAACGTGATAGTCCAGCACAAATCCAACGGTGCTCCACCTGCATCTCTCCCTTCTCCCTCCCTTGCACTTCCCAGGGCTTGTTAGGATGCCAGCAATGTCGTCTGGCTATAACTACGTTTCTGTCTTTGCAGTTCCAGCGCCAGGGCCTTCAGCAGACACAGCAGCAGCAGCAAACAGCTGCTCTGGTTCGACAGCTTCAACAGCAGCTTTCCAGTAAGCCTTTGTGTTCTTGATCCTGTTCCTAGTCTCTTCCCCACCGTTTACCCTGGTGTAGAGAAGCAAAGCCAAGCCAGGCAGTCTGTCTGAGGCCATAAATGGTGCTGGCAGGGAGGTGGCATCTGGACTTAGAGTGCCTGGCCCAAGGGGGCACAGCAGGAGGGCAGGCAGTGCTTGCCAGCTTGTGAGCAACCTTCCAGACCTTTCTTCTGCTTCCTGCAGAGGGACAAGGGAGCTGAGCCTTTGTAGGGGCTGCCATGCAGCTTTCCCAAAAGGATCTGGTTTGCAGCTTTAAAGCATGCAGAGATACTTCCTTTGCTGCAGATGACCTCTGAGAGGCACAGAGTGGCTGTAATCCTGAGGCACTCACTTGGTGGATGACCCAGAGATACTGTGTTTCTGTTGTGATGGGGACAAGACTTCCTAGAGGCAGAGGGTGTACTCTGGGAAGTAAGTGTTGCTGCACACTTGCTGTGTTTGTGGTGTTCTGTGGGCTTCTGTGGCTGCCATCACAGACAAGGTAATGGTGTTCAGTCTGGCACTGTATTCCTATAATCTGCATTGAGCTGCTGGCTGGGGGATCTGGAAACAAAACCCAGTGTCTGTGCTGTTCCCTCAGACTGGCCTGCTGTTTCAGTGTCACCTCACTGGCTTTTTTGCTATAAAAATGGCAGACATGCTATGAAAATGCTCAGAAACAGACTGCACAGGTGTTTTTGCATTAAGTGTGAGACTGTGCTAGATGTAATAATGTGTGGAGTGGGGGCTTGGAAATTGTGCTTATACTTGTTCCCTGATGGAAAATTCTTAGTCTTTGTGCCAAAAAACCCTCCCCAAACCAGAAGTTTTGATGCGTTCATAGATTCATAGATTTCTAGGTTGG